ATCAGTAAACAAGTCTGGTAGAATGTTAAATTTTACTAACCGAAACCTACGCCGTGCTCCCAAAGAGCCAGAAGAAACTGCTTACTGCTGCTCGGTAAGACCGATGGTTGAATATGCGTGTGTTCTGTGGGACCCGCACCAAGCGTACCTTGCCACTAAAATAGAAAATATTCGAAACCGTGCTGGAAGGTTTGTATCGGGAACGTACAATGGAACTTCCAGTGTGACAGAAATTAAACATGAAATCGGTTGGGAACTATTGGATTTAAGGAAAAGATAAATATCGTCTGAAGTTTTTATTGTCTCTTTTAGTAACTTAACTAGAATTGATAAATATAAATATCTTGAATTGCCAAACTATTTTTCAACCCAAATAGATAATTGAAATAAGATAAAATAAATATCTTGCCGAACTGATTATAAAAAAAACAACTAATTTTTCCCTCGTACAATAACGGATTGGAATTCATTACCTGTATCATTGAGCATTCACTGCATATGACATAAGATAGTTTTTTGCAATATCCTAAATTATAACATTCAAGAGTTTGTGTTTTATTTAATAGTATTTATTGTATTTTTCCATTGCATTTATATTCGTTATTATGTGTTTTTTTGTGTGTTTCCTTGCTGTAATGCTTCGGCGCGGCAGGTTGTTTCTGTAAATAAATAAATAGTAGTAGTAGTGGTGGTCAAAACAGTAGCTTCAAATTCATCTACAAAGAAACATGCACCGCCAGCCATCATTACTGCAGTTTGAAACATAATATTGAGTCATCATTACTTCAACATAACTGACATCAAAAGAACATATGATCTACCAAGAAAACATTTTCCAAACAACACGACTGAAAGACGTTTGGGTTGCTGAAACTCTAAGGTAACGTACATACCTGCCCCGATATCTTGCTTAAAGACCGACCAACGAAATCATTTTCCGCAAGGTAGGAAAATGCCCCTCGCGCCCTCCTCTTTTCACCCTCTCCCAGAAATCACGTGACGGCAGAGGCTTCTTTTGTGTCGGCGTTTTCTGTAGGGATAATCCTCGAAAACCGCGAAATGAGCGGCTAGCTGCGAGAGCCACAACGACCTTGAGACGTCCAGGTGTCTTCCCTCGTTGACGCGGGCACGCTCAATCCGCGAGATTGAGGAAGCCAGCGCGACCGAACGCTTTTTCCCATGAGCTGCAGGTCCGAGGCCGCTCGGTCGGTGGAGATCGAGGGGTCTTGGTATGCTGGGTTCGTTCCAGCAGCCGCTCTCTGGCATCGCGCGGCTGCTGGAACCATTTCCGTGCCGGCACGAGGATTGGCTTGCGCAATAAAGGGTTCAGGTTGTTGATTATGAACCGATTGACCCGACTTACCACATTAGAGCAGTTCATTTTCATTACGACAGGCTCTCTTAGAGCGTCTTGCATAGTTCAGCTGGCACTGGTCCGTTTTTATTTTCGGTTCCTTTCAAAAAGTGAGCTCTAAGCCACTGGACCAACCTACAACATTCAAAATTTACGGAAGCGGAGAAGTGGTTGGGAGGGCCAAGCGGGCAAGGGTTGCACGCCTCTCGAACCGCCGTCCGTTACCTTTGCTTAGTGGCTGGGCTTTGCGAGCAGAATGTGAGCTTGCTCGAGTAACTTGGATCCGTTCAGAAGATAATCCCCTCTAAACGACAATCTCCGCCGCCTGGGAAGAACGTAAGTGGGCGAACGAGACGCCTCTGGGTTTTGCGTCACGCCTGCATTTCAAGGGTCAGACTTGCTGGTTCCCGACAACAGCACAATTGACGGCTCCGCCCGCGTCTTTGATGTATATTGATACGAAGAAGAAGAGCGCGACGGCCCGCGGCCGTAGTGCGTTCTGGCTCGCGCTCTGGCGGGGAATCAGATTAAAAACCTACCCTGAAAACCACCCCGTGTACATAGTCAAAAATACGATAAGCATGGAATGGGAGTGAACGTAGACGTATAATGATCCGATACAAAGTTTCGCTTGATTCCTAAACGAATAATGTCATAGCCAAGTACACCTTCACATCAAATTGTTAGACAAAATTGAAGAGAAGATTGTCTGTTTCTTAAAAAAAGAGATTTCGGCCCCTTCTATCCGGTCCGCTTTTCTATAGGCCTCAATAACGTGGGCGAATCATTCATTTTGTTGCATTTCCACTTCTCCGCTTCCGCAGATTATGAATGTGGTAGTTTGGTCCAGTGGCTTAGAGCTCATATATTGAAAGGAACCGAAAATAAAAACGGACCAGAACAAGCTGGACTAGGCAAGACTCTTGAAGACAGCCTGTCGCAATGGAAATGAACTGCTCTAATGTGGTAAGTCGGGTAACTCGGTTCATAATTTTTCATCGCCTTTTGAAAGGCTCCGAACAAACAAGGAACCAGGACAAGCTCTGGTTGTCCCGGTTTTTTATGTCCTTTCCGCGCTCCTCAAAACGCACAGGGTTTGGTTTCTAAACGATTTTTTTATCTTGGCACGGAAATAAGACAAAAATACGTAATAATGCTTCACACCAGTGCAATGCAATAGAGACTTCTATCTTCAGCAAGCTGCTTTCCGCCACGCTTCCATGTCATTTTTCAGGCCGCGAATGTTTGTGCACAGTGATTAAACTATTTACACCTAAATTGACATGTACTATAAATATGGTAATTATTTTAAAAGCAGCATGTTAGTGCACACGAATTCTCCCAGTGTCTTGCCTTTTAATGGCGTGGAAGTAATATGGAAATATCCTGTACATGATTTGTGCAGAAGGCTGGGTTCAATGTCTCCTATATTTCTACAAACTCCGTGGCAGACGCACTACCATATAGCCTGCTGTCATTTCTCCAAGAAGCGAGGTTTTGATAGAAGTTCGTTGCTCGGCCGCCATTTTTTGTAGTGGCGCGAAAAAAAAAAGGAGAGAGAGAGAGAAAAGCAACGGTTTTTGCAAGCTGAATTTTTTTTTTTTTTTGCCATTGCGATATTTTGCTGCTTTTAGGTATGCTTTTGTGGTGTAAACAATTTTACGGAATCCCACATATATTTCATCTTCAACGACAGTTGTAAAGTATTACGCACTGCCTCGGGTGCTTTGACCTTACGCACTAGAGCGTCACAGGAGAGAGTATTTCAGCGAATCGATCACGTTTGTGGCATCACGACGAACACACTTTCACCACGAAATCGTAACAAATAACGATTGATGATGAAATTGATTGGGTCCCAACAGTAGAGCCACATTATTTCGGTTGCAAATAAACTGGGCGTCGTTCATGCGATGTGTTTACTTCCACGTTCGAATGTGTTGAGAATGAGTTGCCGAAAAGCGCAGTCTGCAGGCTGCTTCCTGGAGTGGCCTGATATCTCCCCAACTCGGGAAAGGGAAAGGGGGGGGGGGGGGGGGGAAGCTGTGGATGTTGTGGGAAGGTGTTAATATTTATTCTCACTCAGGAGAGTCGCCGGTCGTTAAAAAGTCGACTCGCTGATAACGGGAAAGCCTGTGGGGCCACATCTATAGTAACCTTGAGTAAAATGTGGTATACAGCTATGTTACTGAGAAGTTGAGATAGTGTAAACGATTGGGCGTTGTGGAGGCAAGTGAAGCAAAGACCTATCTTACGATTGTGCCGTCTTCATTAGAAGCAAGAATTTCGGTTTGCTTCTTCAATCCCTCATGACGCCAATCTTTCCAATTTTGCATAAATTCGGGACAGCGTTTGTTGATCGCGCAAGCCCGCGCCAATATTTAAAGGACTTTATCAAGTTATAACACAGTCATCGAGCAGAGGTAAGGACGACTAAATACGGAAAAGAGTCCAAAATGGGATGAACAACCTATGAGAGGAAACCATTTCGTCGTTTACCCTGAGACTGGGTTTTTTTTAGAAGAGCAGAAGTAACAGAAAAAACAGACAGGTCTCAAACTCAGCTACAAGTTTATTTCAACAACCTCCTCTTACATAGTTCGTTCTCGTCGTCATCAACCAATCACATACGACTTGTCCTCTGCACCGTGACTTTACAGGTTCCACTCTATCACAAAAGAAGCGGACACTCCCAACGTTTCCAAGTGAAAAGGTTCTAGCAGCAGATATGCCTCACAAAGACTTCCAGCAACTCTTTTGTGTCCTCACAATAAACAGGACAAGAGCCCACAACAACATCCCACTCAAAACCGGTCACCTCCAAAATTATAGAAAACAGACAATACCCTCCAATACACACCACAGACATCTGCTCTTCTAAAAAAAAAAACCCAGTCTCAGGGTAAACGACGAAATGGTTGACTTCCACCAGCTAGCCTGTACTTTGACTCTTTTCTATGAGAGGAGATGTGTTTCAAACAGTAATGAAGAGATTAGGAAAAGCCAGTTGATTTATAAGTTTCAAAAATAAATGTATTATCAACAACCTGAACCCTTTATTGCGCAAGCCAATCCTTGTGCAGAGACGGGAATGGTTCCAGCAGCCGCGCGATGCCAGAGCGCGGCTGCTGGAACGAACCCAGCATACCAAGACCCCTCGATCTCCACCGACCGAGCGGCCTCGGACCTGCAGCTCATGGAAAAAAGCGTTCGGTCGCGCTGGCTTCCTCAATCTCGCGGATTGAGCGTGCCCGCGTCAACGAGGGAAGACACCTGGACGTCTCAAGGTCGTTGTGGCGCTCGCAGCTAGCCTCTCATTTCGCGGTTTTCGAGGATTATCCCTACAGAAAAAGCCGACACAAAAGAAGCCCCTGCGGTCACGTGATTTTTGGGAGAGGGTGAAAAGAGGAGGGCGCGGGAAATGATTTCGTTGGTCGGTCTTTAAAGACGGATGAAGAGCCAGGTTAAATGCGACGCTTCACCAATATATAATTTAACCGGTAAGGTTTATTTGAAACCAAATTTTGGTTAAGGTTCTTCCCACCTACTTTTCTAGGTCAAAGGAAAAACAGATTGAATGATAAAAATCATATATTTGTTTTTAGTATTCTAAAACAACATTGTACCTTTTTTTTTTCTTACACAGATATGCCCCTCTGAAGTGCAATTAGTACTAAAAAAATGGGAGCGGACATGGAATGACAGAAAACAAAGAGCTACAAAAAACTTGTGCAAACAGGGCACGTGACACGTAACAAATAAACAATAATTGCCAATAAATCTAATAAAACTTTATTTAGAGTGTATGCGTACTGCATTTTAACAGTTGACAGTACGTCTTCAGTCGTTGTTCATGTATTAAGCTGAAATGTAGATACTGGACGTGTGCGAACATTGGAGCTTTATTTGAATCGAATAATTATTGTCCGAATAATTCGAATCGACTTTTGAATTCTTATCTTAATATATAAATAGATGTAGCAAATATTAGTAGTGCTGGAAAAAATGTGTGTTTATTCAAACACATTTTCATATAGAGATATTAACGAGGTAGAGGGGCTCAGAGCAATAAACCGAAATGCCGGTCCGCAGATGGCAGTAACCCCCCTCCCTCCCTCCCTCCCTCCCTCCCTCCCTCCCTCCTCTCCGCCCCCCCCCCCCCCCCCCACCGGGCCCCCAAGGCCGCCGCTATTCTAAGCAATTATGACTACTCATCACGTAATCTAACCAAATACGTTACGTAGCAGGTAAGATCATAGCGCCCAGACACCACTGGTCCTAGCTGACCCCAGCTGTGTCGGATGCGTTATTTGTTGATGTTGGTCCGAGCGAGTGGCTTTCAGATCCGGGAGCCGTGATGTGAAGAGTTCAGCTTGTTCTCTCACTCGGATATGAGGTGGAAATACGGAGGTACGAAACTTTAGTGCGCATGTCGTTCCTGGTCGGCGGGGATACAGGCCACAAAAAAGATAGACTCGCCCCTGAGTTGCTCGAACCTCAGATTCAATCGAATATCGCTGAAAAAACTTCCAAAGCTGCGTTTTTGTACTTTCGCTGACCACGGAATGTTTGAAGTCTGCAGTGAAGCGTGTGCGATGCATTTGGGTTCACAGTTTAGGTACGGCAGTTGCGTAACTCGCGCTTGATAGTGCGCAGCCGTGGTGCAGTTTCGACCAGATGATCAGAGGCTCGCGTTGGTTGTGCAGCACAACGAAGAGCTGCATTGCAGCTGGTAGTTCCTATGCCATGCTAGACGATGCTGTGCTTTTTTTTAGAGCGCAGCTCTTAGGGGCCCGTTCCTGGCTTGAGCGGCGTCGCCGTCGCCGTCGGCGTAACCAAGGTCATCCCAAGGTCACTTGACCCCCAAGGTCACGTGACCCCAAGGTAACCCCAAGGTCACGTGACCCCTCCCCAAGGGTCACGTGACCAAGGTCACGTGACACCCAAGGTCACGTGACTACCCAAGGTCACCCCAAGGCCCAAGGTCACGTGACACCCAAAGTCACGTGGCTTCCCAAGTCACGTGACCCCCGGGGTCACGTGACCCCCGATGACGTCATTAGTGACGTCACTGATGACGTCACCGGCATCCTCATCGTCAGCGTCATGATCACTGATGACGTCATCAGTGACGTCACTGATGACGTCACCGGCATCCGCATCGTCATCGTCATCATCACTGATGATGTCACCGGCATCCGCATCGTCATCGTCATCATCACTGATGACATCACCGGCACCCGCATCGTCATTGTCATCACCACTGATGACGTCATCAGTGACGTCACTGATGACATCACCGGCATCCGCATCGTCATCGTCATCATCACTGATGATGTCACAGGCATCCGCATCGTCATCGTCATCATCGCTGATGACGTCATCAGTGACGTCACTGATGACGTCACCGGCATCCGCATCGTCATCGTCATCATCACTGATGACGTCACCGGCATTCGCATCGTCATTGTCATCATCACTGATGACGTCATCAGTGACGTCACTGATGACGTCATCGGTATCCGCATCGTCATCGTTACTGATGACGTCATCGGCATCGTCATCGTTACGTGACCCCCTAGGTCACGTGACCCCCACCCACCCAATCACCCACCCAATCTACGCCAATGTTCTGGCGTAGATTTAGGAAGTACAGGTGTTGCAGTTCAATGCCAGAAATGTGCTGCAGCGTTCATTTCTGCTCAATGTCGTCCCCGGCAGTCGTCGTAACAGCAAAGGAGAGGTTTTATTCGGGTGGCTCACTACGAAATCAATGCAGCTTCTCTGCTGGACAGCACGAATGCTTCTATATAAGTTTTGTTATATAAATTGCTTTAACAAAGCATGTAGGGCGTATATTAGCTCCCAAAGCAAAATGTCTGCTCCTCACCTCAGCTTGCCTCACGCGAATCTTGTGCCAGACTTTGAGCACATCGTAAACAGTAGACTTTTGCTTAATGGCGAATTGAAAACTATAAAACCAAATTTCGGTCAGCCTCGGGAAACATACTATGAATTAAAAAAAAGCCGAGTACGTAAATGTCCTGTCGGTCCTCCAGTGAAAGGTCGCACTGAAGGACCGGCAAGCAGAGAGCCCAATCTTGCTCCCTTTATGTCTGTGAGTGTTACAGTCGCACATATTTGTGTAATTTCTACCATGTGGTGCATGCCAAATATACGAAGTGAACAGTTATATTGCACTGGCCGAGATGCTTGCCTAAATCAGTGATATAAGCTGACATTTCAATGTAGACTAAGTTCCCACTGTCTAAAGATATGTCAGCTGGCTCTACACGTTTGGCGACTTGGAAAAACCTAAATTCATCACTTGGCCAATACCACCACTGTGAAACTTGATGTTCCTAATGTCCTACATCTTTAAATGCGGTATTTACTGACGCCATATTGGCGGGCATTGTTTGCAACGCGTGCTCAAAAAGCACTGCTAAGGATTGCTCTTAAAGATGACAATCGTGACGGTTTGAAATATACGTTGCAGACGCGTTGTGCAAACTCACTCACAGCACGTGCTCAACAGCAACCGGCGCAAGCTATGGCCGCCAGTGAATACCACCTCTATACTACAGTGTTTCTATACGAAGCGTTTGATCATTCCGAGACGCCAGCGACTCTTTCACGGTATATGAGCGCCATTAAGGATACGGTAGGTATTGGATGAGCCGCGTTTTTATTGGTTGTCTTTCCGTGCCGTAGAAGCGTCACTGGTGACGCCACAAAAGATGTCACTGGTGATGCCACAAAATAAATCAAATGATTTTTGTAATTTTAGATACAATAGTAAGGGTGCAGGCGAGCTGGTGGATGTTAACCATGTTGAATATACCTGAGACTGGGGTAGAAAAACATAAAAGTCGAAGAAACAGAACGGGACAGGACGACGTCTCAAACTCAGCTACCAGGTTTATTCAGTCCTCCTCCTTATATAATCCACAAACAGCCCACCACCAACACAAAGGGGCAACTCTAACCAGTTCAACCGCCAAATCCTCCAGACAGTCACTACCAACACAAAGGGACAACCTCTAAACAGTCCAAACGCCAAACCCTGTAATTCCAAACTAGCGCTATGGACGGCCTTCATGCTGATTCACAAAGATAACTCAGCAATCTCCCCCAAAATTTAACAAAAGGACCATTACCTCTTCCAAAGTAACAAGGATCCACAAACACACACAAAAAAAGATTGAAAAAAAAAAAAATTTTTTTTTTTTACTTAAATTGTTTTTCTTTCCTCCTCGACGAAAGGATGACACGCACTTCACGTAAAACGGTGCAAAGTTGAACAGCACAGCTTTCCCTCTGTCCACCCAAAAAAAAAAAAAAATATATATATATATGTATATACATATATATATGTATATACACATATATATATACATAAATATAACTACATTTTTAAAAAACTTTTGGAATTTTTACCGAACTGTAGCGACGCCTGGCTTATGCAATTACCTAAAGACTTTATTCGCACCGTCTCCCTTACTAGCCTTTTTGTGTCATTCCTCTCCTTGTGAATGATTTCTGTCTCCGACCAAATAGCAGTGCAGTTGTTACATTCGTTGACATGTTTTGCGATTTCGGAGTTCGGTGCATTGTTCTTCACGTTTCTTTTGTGTTCACTTAATCTGTCGTTGATGCATCGTGATGTTTGTCCTACATACTTAAACCCGCATTCCAGTGGTATCTCATACACCACACCATTCTCGCAATCTACCGATTTTTCTCGATGGTTCTTTCTGCAATTGTTCGCACCTGTCTGAAATGGCGTCAATCTACTAAGTTTAAAATCTGAGCTGAAGACCGTGTCTACTCCAAACTTTTTCGCACAAGCCTTCAAGTTGTGCGAAATTTCATGAAAATAGGGGATCACGGCAAATCCAGTCCTTTTACCCTGTTCCTTTTCTCTCCTTCCTTTAATAACTATTTCTAACTGCCGTTTGATAAAACTGTCTTTATACCCTACATTGATCAACCTTTTGCATTGTCTTTTAACCGAATCCGTGATGAAATGAACACACGATCTGTCCAGCGCGTTTCTGACCAACGACTTTACAACCCCAGCCTTTACGGTCTTGGAATGACAGCTAATCCTTGGCAACACCGGTTTAGAACTTTCTTTTCCGTATTCCCAACATACCCCTTGATTTACATGTATACGTAAGTCCAGGAACTCTAGGACCCCTCTTTCTGGTTTTTCCGTAGTAAACTTCAATTCCGGAGCCGCTGACCTTATCTCACGTTCCAGACTGCCCGTTAGATCATTTGTTACCGTGCAAATTATGATGTCGTCTACATATCTTCTTACTAACGCCATACCAGGGGACTTCTCCTTTAGTCTGTTATGCACTACTCGATCCAAGGAGTTTAAGTACACTTCCGCCAAAATCGGTGCGACCGACGAACCTATACAAACCCCGTCTTTTTGAACATACTTCCTTCCTTCGTACTCGATTACCGTCGACTTCAGGTAAACCTCAAGGATCGTTAGGAAACTCTCTACGGATATACCTGAACCTGCTTGGAACTTTACGAGATTCAACTCTAATACCTCTCTCACTCTCTGCATCAACCGAGTCTTTTCTAGCGAGTAATAAAGGTCCTTAATATCCATGGACACAACAGAACATTGCTGTCCATGAAATTTTTCCAACATGTCAATCAGTTCATTTGAATTTTTTAGAGACAAAGAATTATCTAGGCATGCATACATCAACCCTCGCTGGAGAA